TTATTTCTCATTATCCTACTCTGATTTGATTGGTAATAAATTAAACTACTTTCCCCAAGTTGAATCTATTTTGCCCATGACAGTAGTTGCTGAGTGATCTCTCCCTGTCCTCATCTCGACCCATGAGCCTTTCATTATATTTTCTCTCCCCTGTCCAGCTGAGGAGGGGAGTGATAGAGCGGCTTTGGTGGGGAACTGGTGTCCAGCTAGGGTCAACCCACCATGTGGAAATAAGCCAGTATTGTGTCTGTTTAATAGGAAATTTATTAACAGTCTTTTTATCCTAATTTACAGGACCTTAAAGATCCTTCTTGGAAACAGTGGAGAGAATTCATTGTAAAGTATTTATTTTTGCCATACCAGTTGATAGCTGAATTTGCTTGGGATTGGCTGGATGTGCACTACTGGACATCAAGATTTATAATTGTAAATGCTATGTTACTCTCTGTTCTGGAATTATTCTCCTTTTGGAGGCTCTGGTCAAGAAGAGAATTGAAGTAAGTCTTACTGAGCTCGTTGAAGAGGGTAGGAAGTACATGGCCTTATAAATAGAAATAGCAGTCTTACGATTTCACAGTTGCTCACTGAAATGACAGTGTCTAACCACAACTCTGAGGTTAATAAGAACACGTGAATCTGAATCCGCACATATACTAGCACTAATTCTTGAATATCTTTATTTCTGTGAATACTTGAAAGGGTTTCTTATAGCTGGTTTTACTGATCAGATGTAGCAAATGCAGTAATGGTAAAAAGCATGTTCTTCACCATTGGGTATTTACCAATTAACTCCTGCCGTTTATGGTAACTGGTATTAGCTGTCAGCTGAGAACTAAATACATCAGAACTTTGTCATTATATGCTTACAATATAGTTATTAAAGGATGAGTTCTCAGGTTCATAAATAAGTTTAGTTACGCTATTATTTCTGATAGGTGATCAAAATTGCTGTTTTCAGTTACTGCTTAAGCCTTAATTCAAGCATATTAATATTACTTCATAATTGCTGTGATCTTTTATTTATACTTTTTAGAACTTGCATAGGAGAAATCCTTGTTTTGGTGTATAATGGGTTTTCACTTTCTCGGCCAGCAGCTAGGGGGCAGAACATGTTCAAAAGAGAACAGGGTACATGGAAATAATCTATGACAAATCTGGAATTTGACCACTTTAACTTGCTGTGCTTTGTGGTCCGAATAAATTGACTTAATGCTTCCTCATATAAAATCTAGTATTACTGTATTTTAAGAAAGTTTTCTGGAGTACAAAAAAATGTTTTACAGGTACCTGAATAAGGGCTAAATAATTTGAGGCTGCAGCACATACTAGCTTTTCTTAGAATGGGTAAAAACAAAATGGAAAGTTTCTCTAAGCCTCTCCCTTTCCTTTTTCACAGGACTATTCCTCACAGAATGTGGAGACATTTCTGGAAAGTCTCAACCCAGGGTCTTTTTGTTGCCATTTTTTGGCCTTTTATTCCTCAGTTTGTCTGCAATTGTTTGTTTTACTGGGCCTTGTACTTTAACCCAATTATAAACATTGATCTTGTTGTTAAAGAAGTAAGGCGTCTGGAGACACAAGTGCAGTGACTGGCATTGGAACTTTTGATCTGTTTAGCTTCTAAAAATGGACATTTGAAATAAGCTTTGCTTTTCTTCTTTATATATGTGGCAGTGAAAGTGGTGGATTATGTTAACTTAAACATACAAAAAAGCCTTAAGGTAAGTTACTCTTAAACCAGCTGATTCCGACTCTTGAGGATGGGCTTTATTATCCAAAAGGAATTTTCTATTGAAAAAAAAAAAATTACATTCCTAATTTAGCCATGTAAAACTTATACAGTCATGTCACGCTATTTTTGATCAAATCAAACTTCTCTATTCTGTCTTGTGCATTCTGGTTATTTTCAAGCCTGCCTTAAAATCGGTGTCTTCTGAACAGCTACAGTGATTTTTTTTTTTTAATTTTTATTTTTTTTAACTTAGGATTTCATGCTAGCAACGTGTTCCTCAACTTAAGTTTGCCAAAGGAAAGCTCTTCCTGGATAGGCTTGATATTGAAAGTACTTCAGTCTTTTCAGTCTGCTTTACATGTAAAGTTGTGGCTGTCATACACAGTCTTGCAGCGGAGTTTGTTCTAAAATTCCCCCTTTTGAAGGCAAAGACTGCTTGAGTTTTCTTGTCTTTTGGAAAATGTGGTGATTGCCATTCAAAATTTTTTTTTCAGATCGGTTAGACTTCATCAATAGCTTCTTTAATGCTCTCCTCTTGAAGTCTGTTGCTAATTCTTAAATTCAGTGTTATCCTTTAAAAGGATTATTTTGCAAAAGTGACCTGACACTTTAATTACGTCTTACTGCAATATAATGTGTGTATCTGGATCTGTGGGCGAATATTGACTGGAAAGTTATTTTGTATAAACAGGATTACCATTTGTTAATGTATGGTTTTTGACTGAAGCAAAAGTAAGATTCCCCCCCCTCCCAAGAGCTTTGTCCCGTTGCATTCTACATTGTTATGAAATTTAAATTTGCCCATGAATATTTTTAAAGATTAAAGATCTGTTTTGAAATCTTCATCCATCCTAAAGAAGTGGTTTGTTTTTTGGGGTTTTTTTTTTAAACATTGAAGTACTTGTTATTAGTTTTGACTTGTGTAAACTTGTTCTGTAGCCCTGTAACTTTAAGTAAGTGAGGTGGGTGAAAGCAGACATTAAACACTCCTGGTTCTTAAACTGTTAAAATTAGCAATTATGAAAAAGTGTATTATTCAGCAATTCGTGTTACTGATTTTTCTTCTAAAAGGTTTCAAAAAACTATGAAGTGACCCTAGCTAAAATCATCTTTATATCCTTATGAGGTATGTTCACTTCTGAACTTTGCAAACTCGTGCTGTCCAAGATCAAACACTTATGGAAAAGGCTGTTGGTCCCAGTAACTGCTACTTTTTTCATGTATCTGTGTTGGTGATGGTTTGCATTTGCACTTTTAAATCTGGCTCTGAAGTTTTAAGAATAGAACTTCTCCCTGTGCCTACAGGAAACTCAAGGTGTGCATAGAGTAAGGAGCTTGAGCCATATCAAGTGAACAACTTCTTAGAAAACTGTATTTAAAAAGTAAATACTAGAAAAAAAGAATTATATTAGGCAATTTTTAATACAGGTAGGACTACTTAAGGTGAATGAGATGCAAAAGTTAAATTAGGCTTCATAGTAAGTGTTTAATATAGATGAGAGGGCTCTTTGTGCTGATGTCACTTCATGCATTTCTTCTGGTCAGTTCAAAGTTAACAAATGTTAAGGTAAATGTTAGTGGAAAAGTTTGATTTGTATCTTACAGCCAGTGGACGGGGGATGAAAAGTTTACAGTGAATGATATTATGAATCTGAAAAATCTGTGAATCATTATAAATTAAATTGATTTTAAGTCAGTTACTCCTTAAGCTGATAAATTCAAATTTCTACTTAGTCAACAAAAGCTTACATGGAACTAATGAACTTGCTTTTAGTCCATGCACTGTAGAAGGTAAATAAGAGGATAAATGTTTACTTTGGCCATTCTGGGGTGAAGAGGCTGAGGTGGCAGGAAGGAGGAGGAAGAAAGGGGAAAATAATTTGTTGTCACTACTGTGACAAAAAAGTAATTTTAGATTTAAAAACAGAGCTTTCATAAAGACTGATGCTATATATCTAATATCTACACAAAGGCTGAATCTCACCACACATAAAGTCTGGCCACAAAAGGTATTTTGTGTGATAGGGAGCTTTAGAAAAACATTTGGCAGCTTCACGGTCACATTCACATGCCATTTTTTGACATTTGTCTTCTAGTGATTCTGAAAGAAAACACAGTAAGCTTGATGTTAGTCTGAAGTAATTAAAAATACCAAATGGAATACCAAGAATTGCTACCTCACGTTCCATATTTGCCACATAAATGGCTCTTACATTGCAAGTGCAATAGGAACTGTACTGAGCTTTAGTAAGACTTCCAGTTCTTTCGTGTTCTTTAGGCAGAGCTCCATGCTAGGACATCTCAGCAACAGAGAATATACAAGCATGGTTTCGTTTAGTGACAGTTGATAATCAGTGGAACTATCTTGGAAGGTGAAAATACAATAATTGGATAAAGATTTAAATACTCTTCTTCACCTTCTTTAATAAAGGAATGCTGATAACTGATTTCTCTTTAGAGTGGTATGTGACCCTCCCTGCCTGCCGTGTTGCTCTAGTGAAACTTGAGTTTGGGAAGATATTTTCCATTTCACATATGCTTTAATCTACTAAAGGATGTAGCATTAAAATTATATATGTGAAATAAGGGATGCATTGATGTTCCATGTTCAGCTTAAATTGCCCACCTTCCTTCATCAAGGCATTCCGTAAGAAGTTAGGTAAAGTGTGTTTAAGGATGATAAAATCCATGTCTGGCTATATTTGTGTTATAATTGTAGTGTTGTAACTTAACAGATTTCTTGGCATGAACATTTCTTCTTGGCATGAACATTTTCTTCTACAGCAATATATTTTGGTTTTATTGTGCCAACCCAGAAATGTGTGTTTTTTCTCTCTGCAACTGTCTGTAAACTGAAAAATCCTTGATTATATTTTGTCTGAGTATTTAACATTTTGAAAGCTTAGCCGAATCTCTGCTTGAGATTTGTCTAGGAGCAGAACAAGCGTTCCGTTTTGTGAGTGAACTTAAATTCTGCTATGAAGTAGAAGTGTTCTTAATGTATATAAGTTGCTGCTGCAACTAGCTACCCTAAGAACTACTCAATAGCATAAGTAGCATAAACAACATGATAGGATAAAAAAAAAAAACACCTTAACTGAAAAGAACTATTCCTTCTCTTGTTATTGCTCCAAACTTAATCTTCTCCATGGTACGCCAGGGACTTTGTTTCAGCTTTGTTTCCTGATGACATGCCTACTACCTTGGCCAGTATTTTAAAATGTTGTCAGCTTCTGGACTGGAACAGGAGCAGAACCTTTACAGCCAAATATAGGTGGACTATAACTTGACGGTTAATCAGGTAGTTTGAGAGCGAAAACGCTTAGTACTTTGGGAGCAGAGGAGGAAATGAGCAAGCAGAGATTCTGCATGAGGTAGACACTTGGGCAAAGTAAAGGTTGAATGAAAAGGAGGAAAGGAAATATTGTAAAAAACTTTCATTTGATTGCAAGTCAGGCAAATTCTAAATTGAGTTACGAAATGAGAGGTTTTTGTGTTTTCTCTGAACGGCCTACTGTGTTGCCTTTAAACTATAGTAGTCAGAAACTTAGACTCGTTGTAAACAAGTTTATATAAAGGTCTGCATTTTTGTGGTGCAAATAATAACCAATTCTCAAGCTGATTTGCATTCTAGGTAGTAGCATAAAATTACATGCAAAGTAACTTTGACTTAGCACCTGATTTAAAAACAAACCAAAACCTAACAACAACAAGAACAAACGCTGCACATTTTGGGGGCTTGTGAGAAGTTACAGTTTCAAAAAGTCTTCAAAGCGTATTGGAAAATATTTGCTAAAACTTCGGGAGTTGTGAACAAATAATGTAAAAGAAATGCCGCTTTTTCCTGTTAAATGTTTTTTGTTTGTTTCTTCGATATCTCTTTGTCCTTCTCTTTTATATTATAGCGTGGCAAGTATATTACATTCATGTTTCGGAGCAATCAAACAAAATTTATCAGGATGAGGTCAGCCATCTGTTGCAACTTGTACACTAATTATGTAAATAATTTCAAATTAACATTTTATGGCTTGTAGACATGTTACTTCCATAAATAAACATACTCATCAAATATTTTATTACCTCAGTGTTTGAAATTGTAAGTTGTAATTGTGAATTCATTCATAAGTTGCAGCCACTAGCAGTGGGCTGTGCAACCGATCAGTCGTAAGTATGCCAAAAACTTGTCCATCATAAACTTATAAATGGTGTGAAATATTTTCTGCTAAGTATAAAAAGGATCCTTTTTAAACAGTTGTAATTTTCTTGCCTTCTGTTTGTAGTTGCTCTCCAGTTGGAGACCTGCAGGGAGTAGCATAATATGGGTTCCTCAACATATGTAAATGCTGAGTAAAAAGAGGGTTTTTTTTGGCAGTGTTTTCTGAAAGGGTAATAGAAGCTTGTAGATCAGAATTTTGTTTGCTTATTTGTGTCAGTATGTGGGGATTAAGAAGAAGAAACTGCATTCAGTTGGTTGGCATAGCTGTGCTTTCTGGAGCGAGCTTGCCTTCACAAAAAAGTCACAAAAGGAAGGATGGTAAAATAAGAATTTTACAGTTAATTAGGAAAATGTCTTTCTATAAAGTCAATGAGACAATCAGTAGAAGTAAAAAAAAAAAAAAAAAAAAAAAAAGAAAAGAAAAAAAACCCCA